AACCCCTTAAGATTGGGGATATTTCTATATTCAGGGCCTTACAGTTACATTCCTTCAGCATGGGGGTTTTAGAGCAAAAGCAGGCAATTCTTTCTACCAGCTCCATGGGACTCTGCTTTTGTAAAAAGCATATAATTTCAATACAACAATCACGGGAACCACCTATGTGGCCTCCAATTTACCACTTCACTCCTATTTCCCACAGGGTCACACGCTGAGTAATGGACCGAAACACCAACCTACATGGCTCACATTTCCCTTAAGCCTTTGGTTACTGAAAATAAAGCTAAGGGGGAAGAGAACAGCGTCGTAGAGCACGGTGTCTAGCAGCGACCGCCACACTCGGAGCTAAGGACCCCTTTTTGGATGGAGGGAGCAAGCAGCAGCAGCAGCTTACTCTTCCGGTGTGGCTGCAGGCTGACCGCTGCGCTGTGAGTATCCCTCAGTGGGAACCATCCTCCCTCTCCCCTGCCCTCGGAGCTGGGAGAAGACCTCACCTTGGTGACTCTGAAGACATGGAATTGTTAAAGCCTACAGACGTTCATTTTGCCGAAGTGCCCACGGCCACACACCCTACCCTGACTGAAGGACTCAGGTGCTCCGAACACGGCAGGTGCACCTGGCCCAGCTGCACCCTGAGAAGCTGGGAGGAGTCACTGACTGTTGCAAACAGCTCCCCAGTGCCCAGATCTTTATGCATGAACCATTCTTGACTCACTGAGAGAACTCGAGGATCAGAGCAGGGGCCACAGCACAGGCTCAGGTTCTAGGGGTTCCCCTCCCAGAGGGCTCCTCCTTCTACTAACTCAGCCCAAGGCCTGCCTCCCTCTCCTTCCAGGCCCTTTCAACTCTTCATCTCATTTCCCCTTTTTAAAAGACTAATTTGTTTTTTACTGGAAAGGCAGATCAGTTTTATAGAGAGGAGAGATGGAGAGAAAGGTCTTCCATCCACCGGCTCACTTCCCAAACGACCATAACAGCTGGAGCTGAGTGACCCAAAGCCAGGAGCCAGGAGCTTCTGGGTCCCCCATGTGGGTGCAAAGTCCAAAGGTTTTGGGCCATCCTAGAATGCTTTCTCAGGCCACAAGCAGGAAGTTGAATGAGAAGTGGAGCAACCGGGATGTAAACCGGTGCCCATATGGGATCCCAGCATTTGACAACTGAACCATCGTGCAGGGCGCTCCTTCTCATCTTCAATCATCAGGCTTCCCTCTAAGGCAACAGGTTAAATGTCCCCTTGAGTATCTCTCGTTCTGTGTTAAACTTTGAATGATTGTTTCTCTGGTTTGGCAGTTACGTTCCCCTCCCCCTCACCAATGTCCAAATTACCTAGAGAGTTGGAACAACACAGGTGTTGCATATAGACATGAGTATACTGGTGTTTCGGTTCTGGCACTTTAAAAAAAAAAGATGTATTTTTTTTTTTATTATAAAGTCAGATATACAGAGAGGAGAGACAGAGGAAGATCTTCTGTCCACTGGTTCACTCCCCAAGCAGTTGCAATGGCTGGAGCTGAGCCTATCTGAAGCCAGGAGCCAGGAGCTTCTTACAGGTCTCTCATGTGGGTGCAGGGTCCCAAGGCTTTCGAGCCGTCCTCGATTGCTTTCCCAGGCCACCAAGCAGGGAGCTGGATGGGAAGTGGAGCTGTCAGGACATGAACCGACACCCATATGGGATCCTGGTGTGTTCAAGGTTGAGAACTTTAGCCACTAGGCCACCACACTGGTCCCCCCCTTTTTTTCTTTCTCTGCAGTTAAGGAAATGAAAGCACGGCGACATTGCCAGGCTCATCTTGCTAAGACACGGGAAAGCAGGGTCAGAGATGAAAGTGGAAGCTGTGAGAAAGAATGGCTGTCTATTCAAGACCAGTCCTCCTGTACCCCACAGTCCAACACGGCAGCACCTGACTTCCCTTCCCGATGCCATTTTCACCACTTGACAGATGTTTCCACTACTGCTACCTTCACTCCTTGCCAAATGTTCTTTTTATTGGAAAGTCAGATATACAGAGAGGAGAGACAGAGAGGAAGATCTTCCATGTGTTGATTCACTCCCAACCATCTGCAACGGCCGGAGCTGTATCTATCCAAAGTCAAGAGCCCAGAGCCTTTTCTGGGTCGCCCACGCAGGTGCAGGGTCCCAAGGTTTGGGGCCGTCCTCGACTGCTTTTCCAGGCCACAAGCAGGGAGCTGGATGGGAAGTGGAGCTGCCGGGATTAGAACCAGTAGCCATATGGGATCCTGCTGCCAGGACATGAACCGACACCCATATGGGACCCTAGTGCGTGCAAGGCGAAAACTCCAGCTGCTAAGCTACCATGCTGGGCCCAGCTCCATCAGTATCTAAGGAGCTTGTCTCAAAAGGCTACAACAGCTCCCTGAGCCCTTGTTTCCCCAAATGTTGCAGAACACAGCACCTGTCAGGGTTGCTGTGAGGATTAAACAATGTGAGCCAATGGCCGAGGTTACAGCAGGTGGCTAAAACACAGAAGCTCTGTATTTTTACTGTTTGGGATCCTTTTACATGGTCGAGGAAGGCTTCATCAAGATCCTTCACTTACATAAGTGAATTCACGATGAAATAAATAAAATCTATTAAAACCATACACCCTAACAAACAAGAATAAAACAGACCAGGTGAAGACAGCAGGGTTGACTAGATGACAGCTCCTTGGGTAGTTAATCTTACATCTTTCTGTATTTATTAGACACTTTTGTAATAAAGGTTAAACAGTAAACGTATTAAATATAGATTCGTTGGGAAGAAGGGAGGTTGAGTATTACTTTTCCAACAGAAAGTTATAAACATTTGACCTATTCATTTTCATGCCTTTTGTTATCACATATTCACTGATAAATGAAAAAAACGTGAAAAGCCATCTTCGCTCACATTCGTAAAGTTCATGATAACCTGACAACAATCGATATGGAAAACAACGGATAAGCATAAATCTTTACTGAAACAAATGTAGGTAAACAGCGTCAAACTTGTCTATAGCTTAGACCGTTGAGTGGGCTGTTCCTCAGAAGAGCCACTAGGGGCCGCTACAGATCAGCATTCCAGACAAACTGCCCACTTGACTGGCAAGTGAGACACACTCAGGGCCACTGCACCGCAGGTCTGGGACGGCCTATTTCAGCACAAGCTGCGAGGCCCCGCTCTGCCAGGAGCGAGCACCAGCTGCTGGCACCACCACGAATCCTCTGGGCTTCGTCGCTCAGTCGGTGTCCGCGGGGGCTGGCGTGCGCAGAAGCGGAAGGTTCTTCTCAGCGCTTTCTTTCTTTTTTTTTTTCAAAGTTGTATTTTATTTATTTGAAAGGCAGGATGGCAGTGAGAGGCAAAGAGGGTAAGAGGAGGGTCTTCCATCCACTGGCTCACTCTCCAAATGGCCACAATAGCCAGTGCCTGCAATTCCACAGCATTGTTCTGGAAGTGGAGCCTTTTCCTGCTGTTTTCGCAGGAGCGTTAGCAGGGAGCTGGATCAGAGGTGTACCCAGACGGGGAGCTGGGAGATGGGACGCTGCCATCACCAGCAGGCAGCAAGCAGCTTGCTCACCGCACCACGGTGTTGTCCCTGACTTCTTTCCTCTAGTGATAAGCCTTATTTCCAATCCCTCATTCACGTCATCAGATGTTCGCAAATACCTGCATACCCCTGATGAAATCAGTATGTATACATGCAAACCACATGTTCATGGACATATACAGGTTTAAGTGTCCCTTACTCAAAATGACATTTTTGGATTTCTGATGCCTTCAGATGTTGGATTTTATAACGTGGATTTGCATACATGGAATATCTCAGGGAGGGGACTTGGGTGTGGAGACGAACTCACATGTTTCCTAGGCACCTCACATTCGACCACGCACCTTACACGCACACACACCTCACACCCAACCACGCACCTTACACGCACACACACCTTATACACAACTTGACTTTTCCTGTGGTCCATCCCATAAAATCAGAGCTCGGAGTTCCCACCTGTGGATCACACTGGTGATCCAAAAATGGATTTGAGGTTTTCAGGTTAGGGAAATTCAACAGTGTAATGAAATCAGACTGTTTGCAGGTAGGAATTCCCTTTACACACTCTACATGAGTTTTACTCCACTGCCGGTAGGTGCTGGGACAGTTCCTAATACTCAAAAAAAATTCTGTTATTGGTTGAAATGCTTTTGCTCACTAATACACCCCATTGTCACAACAATCTTGAAAGGGTTCGCATCAATCCTATTGGGAATGCGGGAAGCACCTTCTGATTTCTACTTCCATTTAGGCACAGCAGAATATCCGCATATAATATGCAGAATGCTCATTTTCAAGGTTTAAAACCCCAATACCAATATCCAATTTTCTCCTGCAGGCATTTCAAGGTGGCACCCAGTTGCAGCCAGACACCAGGTGCAACCAGCCTCCCCTTCTGTCCAAGAGCTGAACTGCCCACCTGCCAATAACACAAAGAGTGGCAGAATGGCCTCAGGAGCCCCAGATACTTTGTTGAGAAAAAACTGATGCTCCCTGCCTTATCAAAACCCAGGGTGCAGGGAGGGCCACCGCCATATGCACACGGTGCCATTGTGGTCAGGGTCCCAACGACACTCTGCCTTCCTGTGCATTCCATTCCCATCACCAGAAGTGCAGAACCCTGAGAATCCACCCACTGCCTCTTAACACTGCAAACAGTCACCCGCACCACTTGGCCCAAACGTCGCACCATCAACAATGTTCTTGTGTATCTTTTTTTTCCCCCTTTCTAATTTTTCCCATTTGCAATCAAGGTTATGTATCAGTCTTTTATATGTCAAAGATTAATTTAAAAAGATAACTTTGGCTTCTGAAATACCAAGCATGCCACCGGCCACTCTGCATGACCTTCTGACAATCAGAACTCAACTCTAACCCCAAGCCACGTGAGAACGCACAGAGCCCCTTACCCTCTCCACCTTGCACCATGTCCTAAATGAACCCTTTCACATGCTTCAAATGCGGTCTCACCTTTCCAAAGAAATGCTGTGTGGACACAGCGAGAGCGTCGAAGCCGCAGGCTGCCTTCCGCAGCTCCCCACGGGCCCAGCTGAGCAGCCGGGCTTGCCGCTCACACCTGTCCTTCAGCCGCTGCACCAGCTGCCTCTCAGCCTCACGGGCCTGTAGGTCAGGCCTGCTTGCAAACCCATTCCGAGGGGCTGTCGTCCTCTGCTTTGGATATCCTAGAGAAGCACATAAAGCAAACGAGTCACTTGTGAACAAGAACTCAACACAAGGAACAGGTGGGGAGCCCATGTTGGCGACAGGTCCTGACCCCGGTCAGCTTTCTGCTAACAGAAGGCCCTGGGAGGAAGTGGTGACGGTTCAAGTGGTCGGATCCCTGTCACCCATGTGGAAGATCTGGATGGATTCCTGGCTCCTGGCTGTTGCAGGAATCTGGGGAGTGAGCCAGCAGATGAGAGATTTGCCCATCTGCCTCTTCCTCTCAAATCAACTGGAAGACAAATCAAGTGTGACGACAGCTTCTAACACAAGCAAAAGAGAGGGAGCTGCTCATGCTTGGCCATTTTAAGGCTTAAAAGGAAAAAAAAACCCAGATATTTATTTGTACCATTCAACGTTTTATGGCTGGAGAAAGGATAATAGTATCACCAAATTCATTTCAGTGTCCAACACTTCTTCAAAGGCTGTTTAGAAAAATTAGTTGCTTTAATTTTCTTGAGGGGATTACTCTTTGGCTTGGATCCCGGTAGACATTTTCAATCAACGCAGGTGAAAGACAAACTTAGAATAACCCCACAACTTTTTCTTTAAAAAAAAGGGTTTACTCAGAGCTTTATTGGAAGAAATGGTGCTAGTACAGTAATTTTGGAAATAACTTCATGTTTTAGTGGGAGAAATAAGAGGCATGCTAATTCTATTAGCTTTCAAGACTTTAAGACAAAAGTGATCAATACAGAACAAAACAGTTAAGAGAAAAATCTGCTGTGCTAAACTTGAACTGGTTACATCATCGTGTAATCAGGGTATCACAAACAGGAAGAAAACTGTTGCACCACTCTCGCCTCTGAGCAGGTCCAGAAGCAATGACCTCCCAGTTGCAGTCGATGCTCCAAACCTCCATATGTTGGCTTCTGTATACTGTTTTTCACTAAGAACAATGGAAACTCCTTGGATAAACAGTTCATTCCAAATAGAACAGTATAAGGCAAGCCTTGGGTTCCTAGGTGTTAGAAATCCCTCTAAGGTTGATGGGGAGCGGGGGGTCGGAAGTCAGAGGGCAGCTTGAAAGGGCTCCCTGACCAAAGCTGAGACAACTTGATCATCAAAACTATATTGGTTACAAGTATTAAAAAATATAAACAAGAATGCATGAGTGGTAACCATCCCCAAATTAAAGGCTTTTTAAAAATCTCTTTACCTAGCAACCTCTTTTTTTAAGATTTATTTATTTTTATTGCAAAGTCAGATATACAGAGAGAAGGAGAAACAGAGGAAGATCTTCCATCCAATAATTCATTCCCCAAGTGACCACAACAGCTGGTACTGTGCAGATCCGAAGCCAGGAGCCAGGAGATTCCTCCAGGTCTCCCACGCAGGTGCAGGGTCCCAAGGCTTTGAGCCGTCCTTGACTGCTTTCCCAGGCCACAAGCAGGGAGCTGGATAGGAAGTGGAGCAGCCAGGTTTAGAACCGGGGCCCATATGGGATCCTGGTGCGTTCAAGGTGAGGAATTTAGCTTCTAGGCCACTGTGTTGGGCCCACCTAACAACCTCTTAAGAGATACCAAGGAGCAATATCTTGATGTCCCTTCCCTCTTTAGGTGGTTGGTCTGATGACCATCTTCAAGTTCAGGTCCACCCTGACTATCTTGGCTGCCCCAGTGCCCTATCAGGTCCTCTCCCGCATGTCTGCCCAGTGACTGCATACTACCTCCATGGGTAAAAGTTCAGCCCACGCCACCGGCACCACTTACTCTCATGGGAAGTCTTACTTGTTGTCATCCTTCCCAGTATTGGTCACTATGGGGACTAATCTGTGTAAATGGGAGGCAATTCCTGATCTGTGAGGACCTCCTTCTGCCAGCTTGCTCTCCACGACAACAAGAAGGAAGTCTTTATTCCTGACCCTGATCCACAAAGCCCCCTGAGGTCTGGTTCCTGGCAGGCAAATGAGAGGTGCTATGGGAGTCAAGGAGGAAGGAAACGAAAGGTATGCCTGGGGTTCAGGACAGGGACTGGGGGCACAAGGAGAGACTACTTTTAGGCTGACAATGGAGGGAGGAAAGGCAAGAAAGATGCTCATCTATCCATCCACCCATCATGGTCAGAGGCCGACAGGGAGCAGGTGTATTTCTGGGACACTGCAGCTCTGTGTGAGCCTCTCAGACATGAAATCCGCTAGCAATCGGAGAAGTTTTGCAGTTGTAGTTGACCATGGATTTACATCTTTAGGGCACATTCCTTTGCTCCAGCAAATCATTCTCCTTTATGGAGAAAGAACATGGATTCCGACCATCACCACCACCACCATATATATATATATATGGCAAAGATTTATTTTTTTAAAGATTTATTTATTGGAAAATCAGATATACAGAGAGGAGGGGAGAGGGAGAAAGTTCTTCTGTCCAATGATTCACTCCCCAAGTGAGCACAACGGCTGATGCCATGCTGATCCGAAGCCGGGAGCCAGGAGCCTCTTCCGGGTCTCCCACACGGGTGCAGGTTCCCAAAGCTTTGGGCCGTCCTCGACTGCTTTCCCAGGGCACAAGCAGGGAGCTGGATAGGAAGAGGAGCTGCCGGGATTAGAACCAGAGCCCATATGGGATATAGGCACATTCAAAGAGAGGACTTTAGCCACTAGCCTACACTGCAGGGCCCAAGATTTATTTATTCTTGTTGGAAAGGCAGATTTACAGAGAGGAGAGGCAGGGAGACAGATCTTCTATCCTCTGACCTAGTTACCAAACAGCCACAATGGCCTGAGCTAATCCAAAGCCAGAGCCAGGAGCTTCTTTTGGGTCTCCCATGTAGATGCAGAATCTCAAGGCCTTGGGATATCCTCTGCTACTTTCCCAGACCATAGGCCAGGAACTGGATAGGAAGGGGAACAGCTAGGACACAAACTGGCACCCATATGGGATAATGGTGCTGCAAGGCAGAGGATTAGCCAACTGAGCTATTATGCCACCTCCACTTTAATATTTCAAATGCTTTTCTTTTATTGTTTTTTGTCTCCACAATATCAGAGTGCAACACACACATGCACACAACCAGCAAATGGTAGCCTCTTCAGAACCCCATATCCTGAGAGTTGGGAGGGTTATGGGCTTGCCAACTTACTGTCAATTTTTAACTCTGTTAACAGTTCATTCCTGTTTATAGTTTACTTTATTACCTACCCACCCATTTGCAAGTGTATCACCAGGGTGGCCCATGAAGATGAGCCACTCTGGGAATGGAGAGCCCATGTTGAAAGAAACTGACTGATATGTAGTCAGCTTCACCTGTCGCAGAACAGGTGTTGGCTTTTGCTGTCTCCCCTCTGCAGCTAGCACATAACAAAGCAAAAATGCTAATCTGCTTAGGAAGCAAGGACCTAATGGGAAGGAGAACTGGAGGATGGCGGCCACCTGGAGCTTGGTGGATGCCAGGATGAAAAATGGTGATGGTGACTTCTATCTGACCTCTGACCCCAACACTGTGTGAAAAGAGCTGCCATGCAGGCTTTGCAGGAGGGGTCACACCATTCCCCTGGCCCAACACCCTGACACATCCAGATGCTGGGATATTTTATCACCTCACTCCCTGCTCCTTGCAGTTTTATCTTTAATTGCTTCTCAGGCAGTGTGAAGTTCAAAGTAGCAAAGCACGCAGTCAGAACCTGCTTATCTGTATTAAATTTCTTCCAAGATGCAAAGCTCTGGTTTCCCACAGGAGCTTTCCAGTATCCACCCAGCTGAGATGGGACACTGTGATGAGGGACAGCAGACATTCAACACGGGGCTGACCAATCATTTTGGAGTCCTTAAGTGAAGTGGGGGCAGGGGAGAGAAACGCCAGCCTTTTACTGAAAGCTTGGGTACACTTCCCAGCTGTTAACTGAGTCTTTGCCACAGTGCACCTCCTGTATATGAACCAGATGAAGAAAAAGATGCTAGGTTGGCATTTTTGTCATCACCTACAGACAGAGCTGATGTTATCTGTTTCATGGCCTGTGATTCACAGGGAGCCAATAGATCTGGGCACTTTGAGCACTTCTATGAATGAAGGTGAGTGAGGAGAACCAGCCGGGCAAAGAGGCCCAGTCCTGGCTCTCAGGCCATTCCTTGTCTGACCAGTGCTAATCCACTTCTGCCTCCAGGCCTTGTGACACCCCCTCCCAACCCCCCTACCCCCTGCACCACACCAAATGCACTTACCACTAACATCCATGTTGCAGTCACCCTATCCATTCTGTACTAATGTGTCAGGGTTAGGGGGAAACTCTAAATCTACAACTCCCTCCTTCTGTCCAAAGCTTGCCCCATTCTTGATTTAGTTTTAGACTATCAGACTTAGCTTATCCATTGAAACTACCCCAAGCAAATGACCAAGTCACTCTTAGTGGGACAGACAGAACTTATACTGATCTTTAGTGACAACTGACAATTCAACAGTCCTCAGGAGGTGAATGCAAACGGTGTGCGTGCCAAGGCTGAGCTATAAACAGGCTGCGTGCAAAGGTTGAGCTTTGGGGAGGATGAGGCCTTAGAAAATGGAACAAGAGGATTAAAAATTCATCAGCAGTCATCTGGTCACCAGAGCAGTGGAATGGATGGAAAAGCTCAGCTTGATGTTAAAGCTGGAACGTTTCATGGACATAATATCAAGTGCACAGTGTCACATTGGAACCTCTATGTTCACAGAATCTGAGCAGAACCATGACCTTGATATTTGCAAATGAGATGGAAAGTAATTCTAGGACACAACTTTGATAGCTGTTCAGTTTCAGGCAATGTACTTCGTGAATTCAGCCATCATCTTAACAGACAGCAGGACCCCCTTTGGGAGCATTTGTGCTCAGTGTTTTTTAGACCTGGATAGGCTTTATTTTGTTCAATCAATCTGAAATTATTTGAGAAAATTTTGCCCAGTGATACACTCTGAAGGTCTTCCAAATGATCATGGGAAATGCCCATAAGGAAAAAGAAAAATCTATGCTTGGATTTCCCAAAACACA